ATCCTCACTAGGGTCATGGGGGGCTGGAGTCTATCCCAGCTGACTCAGGGTGAAGGCAGGTTCACCTGGACAGGTAACCAGTCTATCACAGGGCTACACTTAGAGACAGACAACCAAGCACACTCACATTCACACCTACGGACAATTTAGAATCACCAATTAACCTCAACATGTTTTTGGACCTTGTGGGAGGAAGCCGGAGAACCTGGAGAGAACCCACGCTGCACGGGGAGAACGTGCAAACTGCAGAAAGATCCCGGATGTCCTCACCGGGACACAAACCGGCGACCTTCTTGATGCGAGATGACGGTGCTAACCACTGCTCCACCTCGCAGTGCCACGGCTACATCCATGTTTTATTTGCATTCTATAGTTGGAACAATGTGAACCACTGAATAATTGCAAAATTTAAGTTGTAACTGCTGCTGTTACCCTCTAAGTATTACTGGCTATTAAATCTTAACGCAGAGTTGTGAATAGATCACTTCACTCTGAAACACAGTCGTTGGGTTAGCGAAGAGCAGCTGATTTTTGGATATTTTCATTATATAGTGGTTGCCATACTGGATCTTGTGTGTTCAACTAAGCTAACTAGCTACTGGTTCCAGCTCCAGCACATGATGGTAAATATCTCATCTAAGCTTGTTTGAAAAAGTAATTTCCCCTAAAATTAAATATTGCTGAATCTGATTTACTGTATGTAAAAGAGCCACAGTAGTACACCACATCTAGCTTTTAGCAATGTGTCAGCAGTGTGTTATTCACCTGACTGGCAGACTAGAGCAGCAGCAGCCCTGCCCAGTCCTGATCCAGCTACCTGCCTGACATCCACCTGACAGCAGTGACTCAGTGACTAATTCATCACTTAGCCTGCATGGATTAGCGATGTGTCAGCCTGCTTCTGTTTTTAGCCTCAGAGTTTATATTTCATCTACAATTGTTCTTCATGGCTTCCAGTCGTTGTCACTGATCGTAGTCGTGCTGCGTCGGTTTCGTTTCAGCAGCTGTAGAGCACACTGAGGGCCTGTGTGCACAGTCAACACTTTGACTTTATGGGCTTCACATTCCAGCTGTTCATGTGATGTCCGGAGTTTTGTTTGGCATGTTTGATTGGTTGTAAGTTAACACGGCCTTGAGTCAAGACACAGCCCGCGGCCATAAACCAAAAATCCACATGTACGGCGCGGGGAGACGGCCCGGCCTTGTGCTGAAGGTCCAGCCTGCTTCCTGAAGGGACGCTGCTGTGGTTTGGCTTTAGTCCAGCGTAGTAGGCTCACGGCCGTCCATTGGCCAGGTTCTGCTGAGACCGTCATTCAAGACGCAGCGTTGTCGGTCGTTCGTTGTGTTTGGGCTGTTTATAGCAAATCTGATTTGACTCATTAAAACCATTTCTCAAGCAAAAGTGTCCATCATGTACCAAAACATGTTAATGCTGTAATGAAAGGTTAAAATGTGAGTGTCGTGACTGAAGTGATGAGCTGCAGCTTTTCTGTGTTTTATTTCATTATAAACTGAATTGCTTGAGGTGTAAAGACGTCACCTTTGGTCCTAGTAAACTGGCACACCCTTTGTTCTTAGCTATTCCCAAGCTAAGCTGTTTTGTGTAGCCACATGTGTAAAGAAAAGGAAATCCACAGACATTAGGCTTTTCTCGTAACGTCCCAATCTGAGCTTACTGGTGCATAGTACAGATGAGTAAACTAAAATACTGCATATGTTATGAGCATCCACCAAATATAATACAATCATGTAAAGACGTGGCTAACATGAATGGAAACTTGACTTTTCCAACATATTTGCACAGATTTGATCCTCTTTGAACAGTGTCTATAGATAAACTGAGCTTTTTAAACCTTCTCGTAGATTAATCGTAGCAACTGGACTTGCTTGAGTTCCTTGAAGACGTTCCACCTCTCATCCAAGAGGTCTTCAAGGAACTCAAGCAAGTCCAGTTGCTACGATTAATCTACGAGAACAACCCTGACCTGGATGACTGAGAAGCTTGACAGGCAGCTTTTTAGACCATTTATTCGACAAACGAATCAATAGGAACTATGGAAAAAGGAACTACACCCTTTGGCATCAGAAGCTACTTTTGCCCCCTTAAGCAGAAATAACTTCTCGTAGGCGTTTTGCATGATTGTGCATCAGTCCGACGTCAGCCGGCTGAAAGTTTTGACCGCTCTTCCGTGCAAAATTCCCTTGCATGTACGGTCCGTTTCAAATCCTCCGCAACATTTCGAATCTGGGCTTCGGCTTGACCGTTCCATAACGCTCCGTTTCTTCTCTCCGAGCCGTTCCTCGGTGGATTCTCCGTGTGCTTATCTTGTTGAGAGGTCCACTTCCTGTTCAGCTCCAGCTTTCAGACAGATGGTCTCGCATTATCTTCAAGCGCTCTTTGATAAGAACTCATAACTGAATCAGTGACTCCAAGCTGCCCAAAAAGCGTAACATCTGTCCGTCCGGTCCACTTTCAATGTGGTCTGACAACTGTGTGTTTGGACTGTCTTTCCAGAGCACATTTTTTCCAAAAGGCCTGTTATTTTCCTGTATGTTCATTGTAGGTTTGGTCCAATATTTTTTTTTCCTGGCTCCACCACCCATGCAGATCAAATTTGTGCAACATGTAGACACAAAGCTTTGACACCGACTGAGTTACTTGCAGATCCTGTGAGGAAATGTTGGTGTTCCTGCAGACTTCTCTTTGTGCCAGATCTGCTTTTTGGCTGAATTTTCCTCACAGTGGAATGATTGATTTTAAATAATGTGGGGATCTTTTTAAATCTCTTGCCACAACCTTTTTCCTGAAAGTCTTGGAGAGCTCTTTAGCTCTTGGCATGATGACAGTTCAATAGATAGGATAACAGCAGAACCTGGATGTCAGAGGTTCAAAGACGACCAGTTCCATGTGTCTCTCCCTAAAGAGGTTCCAATCACTGACACCTAATCTGGAACCTTTGATGTCTAATTTGATGGATTTTACTTTTTTTTTTTTTTGTGGTTTCTTTTTTCCATCCATCCGTCATCTATACACCTTAATCCTCACTAGGGTCGCGGGAGGCTGGAGCCCTGGACAGGTAACCAGTCTATCACAGGACTACACTTAGAGACAGACAACCAAGCACACTCACATTCACACCTACAGACAATTTAGAATCACCAATTAACCTCAACATGTTTTCTGGACTGGAGAACCCGGAGAGAAGCCACGCTGCACGGGGAGAACATGCAAACTCCACACAGAAAGATCACGGGTGTCCCCACCGGGACGCGAATCGGGGATTTTCTAGCTGCGAAGCAATGGTCACCGTGCAGCCCGGTTTTTTTTTTACATTTTTTTATTGGTCCAGCTTGTTCAAGTTCACTGCCTTGATTAAGACCGACTGTTTCAAAGACGAACACATTTTTGCTTGTTCAAAGAAAGCCAACGATTTCTATGAGACGTGCGTTTTTGTTCACATGACTGATGATGTTTTTGCGCCCGATTAATCACAAAATGTCCTTGCTGTGTTCCATACATGTGTTTCAGAGCATCAGTAAAGCCTTTGGGCAATGTCACAGCACACAGCCCTCAGGCCAACACATCTTATGTAAGATTAGTACGTACGTACGTTACTGCCCATAAATCATTTTAAACCCAGCGCTATCCTGTAGAAACCAACTTTCTCTAATGGTTTCCTTGATATTTTCTCGTATGCATTCATCTGGATTCGTCTGCAGCTCCGTTTGTTTTGAAGGTTTCATCTTTAAGATCAGCCAATCAGCTGATGGTCGTGTCGCTGTTGTTCTTTCGTGTGTCGGCTTTCTTGCTCGTTTGTTTGTTTGCTTTTCGGTGACAAAGTTGAGATTGCGTGTTTGTGACGTCTGAAGGGAACGCTCTGTAGCATGCACACACACACACACACACACAGCTTTAAAGTTACTTAACAGGAAGGAAACGTGACGACAGGAAGCAGTTTAACAATCCCGCCCTCTGACCCTGTTTGTTGTGTATTTGTGTGTGTGTGACTCAGTCTCCCACACTCGGGGGGAATGTAAATAATACTGTAACAAGCACCTCCTACACATTAAGGCCTTTGGCTCCGTCTCTCACTGTCTGTCCGTCTGTCTGTCACACACACACACACACACACACACACACACACACACACACATTAGCATATCTAACAGACAGCGACAGAGAGAGAGAGCGAGAGAGAGGGAAGTCAGTGGCAGTGCCAAACTCACACTGGGCAAGCCTGTGGTTGCTGTGGAAACGGGGCCACGTGACCACGGAGATGGTCACCGGGGAGACAGATGCTGCTGACCTTTCAGAGTTAGAGGGGGGGAGGGGCGTTCTAGAGAGCAGGAGAAAGGATGAAAAAAAATATATAGAGAGAGAGGGTACAGAGGAGAGTGGTGGTTTTGTCATTGTGCCGTAAAGCACAAAGAGAGGAGGGACGCTGCAGGTTTTTATCAAATAATAATCAAAGCGTGTTTCCCAATTCTCCTGTTTGAATGCGAGGTGGTGCAGACGAGATTGATTCTCCTAAAGGTGTGGAGGCCTGAATGCGCCCCACTAGACCTCTACCTATTAACAAAGCTGCAGATAAAACCAAACTATTGTTCTATTCCACCTGTAATACTTCACATGCTGATGAAACAAAGATGTCTGTGTGCTGCTGAATTGTTTTGCAATGTTGTGGCCGCTGTATTCTTGCTATATCATTGAGGGTTGACTCAGTACGTCCACAGCTGTGCAGCAAGGAGTCGAGCTGCTTGAAAACTTTAATGCATTTAAAGATAGTTCATATTATTTGTAATGATTTATTTTAATTAATCCAGCTTTTATTGAGGAATAGCTGGTTGGGATGCATTACATGACAGCATGCTACAGTCTTTATAGCGGAGTTCCTGAGGGAGCCTTCTGAGTCCATTTGCTTGAAAATTGTGCTAATTAGGAGCTAATCCAAAGACGAGGACTCTCTCTGACCTCTGATCTCCGCCCTCTGTGTGTGCAGGTCTTCACCACCTACTCCAACGAGGACTACGACCGACGCAACGATGACGTCGACCCCATGGCGGCCTCGGCGGAGTACGAGCTGGAGAAGCGGGTGGAGAAGCTGGACCTGTTCCCCGTGGAGCTGGAGAAAGGTTCGCAGCCATTGAGAGTCACTCAGTCAAGCCTCTTACGTAACCGCACACATTGCACACGATAACTGACAGGACGCTGCTAGTGGACATACACTGTCTGCTAACAACTCCATTATCCCCTTATGGGATTAAACTTAGCGCGGATTAGCCTAATTAGCAGCTAGTAATTCTGGAGGTAATGGATTTGAACCAGCAACCATGCGTGACGGCTGCTCTCGGCTCTGCATAATAGCTATAATATGGACAAACGTCTAATAGCGCTGAATATGGATAAATGTGATTAATAACTGTAATAGCAAAATATAAATATTAACCTATTAAGGATGCACATCAGTGTTTTCGTTTTCAGTGCTGACTGTGCGTTTCCTCCTCAGATAGCGACGGTTTGGGCATCAGCATCATCGGTATGGGCGCAGGAGCTGACATGGGCCTCGAGAAGCTGGGCATCTTTGTTAAGACGGTCACTGAGGGCGGAGCTGCTCAGAGAGACGGCAGGTAAACTGTGAAACTAGCTTAGCATAAACTCACTGACTGATCAGTGGGGAGGCTCTTGGCTTTGTTTTGGGTTCCCATTGACTCTTAACCAAAAAATAAAAGGCTCGTTAGCAAACTTGTTGTTAATCGTTGTCACCTGTTGCTTGGTGGAGGTTATTCTCGTAGATTAATCGTAGCAACCTTGAATGTCTTGTTTTGTCCACAATCAAAAATAAATTCAGTTTGCTGTCATGGAAGAGGAAAGACACCAGAATGATCTTATTGTTGCAGCTCGCTTGTTAAAAAAAACAACATAGGACCAAACACTGAGCCCTGTGGTGCTCCCTTCATTATTATTCTCATAGATTAATGGCAGCAACTGGACTTGCTTGAGTTTCTTGAAGACGTTGCACCTCTCATCCAAGAGGCTTCATCAGGGTTTGTTTGCCACCTTAACGAACCTCATTGTGGCAGGAGGAGCACTAACGACTCACATAACGAGGGGGAGGAGCAACAAACCCCCAACTGAAACCGAAACTCAAGTGTTAATGGCTCCTTAAGGATATAAGTATCTGGAGCTCCCAACTAGTCAGTCAGAACTGATGAAGCCTCTTGGATGAGAGGTGGAACATCTTCAAGGAACTCAAGCAAGTCCAGTTGCTACGATTAATCCAACAACAACCATGACCTGAATGACTGGGAGTCTTCAGACTTGGTGGAGGTTCCTGCAGAAAACGATTTCCTTGCTAACGCCAGTTCTAGCTCTGTCTCATTTGGTGACTTCCCACTGCAGGAACTAAGCCTGAGGTGGTGCCGCTGTTTACAGGGAATCACCCTGTCATGTTCCCTGTCAGTGTTTCGGTTCTGCTACTGTTTAGGATCCATGTTAACTCCAAGTGCGCCGAAACAACAACAAAACGCAACTATTCGCCATAACTCTGATAAACTCAAAGTAAATCTGTGAATTGTGAATAGTTTGTACTTTGAAAACCCTGTGCAATATCTGCTTTTTTCATATACTAGAATATATGCTATTTTGTTAATTTTCTACTTAGAATCTGTGCAATATTAATAATCAGTATTTTTATTCATCACAACATCCATGTAATACCACTGATATGTGCAATAATGTAATTTTTAGAACTAGTACTTAGGTATATATTGGTTATTTTTAATATTTTGCACTGTCTCTGCTGGTGTAACACTGCAAACTTTCCCTGCTGTGGGATTAATTAGGCTTATTTAATCTTAAATTAAATAATCCAGGTTTTGCTACGCTAGCCAATATGGCAAATGTCCCATTGAAGATAGCGACGCTTGAGTGACGACAGCAAGAAGGCAGAGAAATGGTGTTAGTTTTCCATCCGAGTTTAACCAATCAGCATTTGAAATCTGAGTTTAATCAATCCTGATTAGTTAAACTCGAGTTTAACTAATTAGCAATGAGGCCCCCGCAGCATTAGCTTTTTTTTTTAGCCCCTTCAGAAGTACCAACACTGGAGTAGATACGAAAATGGTGCTGAAAAAGGTTTAACAGGAGCAGTTCCTAAAATCGGAACTCACATAAAGGTTCAGGCTTAAAACGGCCTTCATGTGGAAAACAGCCGATTGAGTCTCGTCACAGCAGCTCCTCAAGAGTCGCACTCAGATATTCACACAATCTATCTCCTTTGTTGTGCTGTTACATGTATATGAAAATAAATGGAGGTTTGAAGCCCCTCAAAATTGTCGAAATATTATTTAAAATACTCCGTCAAGGTGATGAGCTAAGTAGTTCTACTGGTGGATAAGATGAAATGAAAATGTCTATGTTCTGTCTGTGTGTGTAGGATCCAGGTGAATGATCTGATCGTGGAGGTCGATGGAACCAGCCTGGTTGGAGTGACGCAGAGTTTTGCTGCATCTGTCCTCCGCAACACCACAGGAACAGTCAGGTGGGTTTCACACACACTCTCAGGTACACACAGTCCTAATCCGACATATTTAAACTTCAGCAGAATATGTTTTGGCTAAATTTACACACGTCTTTTTTTGTAATTGATGCTATTTTTTGTGCAGATTTGTGTTATAAATTGCATATTTTGCAGGTTTTTGGGTGATGTGTGCTGAAATTCTCAGGTTTGTGTGAGTCTGTTTTGTGTTTTCAGGTTTGCAGTTTGTCTGCTGTGATTTTTTTTTCCGGTTTGTTTTTTTTGGTGCACTTTTTGGTTCGGGTGGGAAGTGTTGTTGTTCCTCAGATGTTTCAGCTTCAGCGACTTTACTGATGAATTTTGAATGTTTTTTTTTTCAGGTTTGTGATTGGCCGGGAGAAGCCGGGGGAGCAGAGCGAAGTGGCTCAGCTGATCCAGCAGACTCTGGAGCAGGAGCGATGGCAGCGAGAGATGATGGAGCAGAGATACAAGCAGTACATGGACGACGATGAAGAGGTACACTGACGTGCTCAAACAGGAATTTGTCTCGCTTGCAGCAGCTCTTGCCTTTTGAAACGTCCAAAAATATGAGCAAGTGGTTGTTTGTGGTCGGTAAACACAGACTCTAAAAACATTTTGTGTGAATAAAACCACTCCAGAATTGAAGGACGGCGTTCTGCTCAGTCAGATGTCCTCCGAGGTTCTCCGGTCTGCATTTATGAAGCGGGTCCTTTCAAATCCCCTTTATTAGCTCAGAGCATCTTCGGCTGATGCTGCTTTGTCAGCCTTTGTTAGCCACAGGAAATCAAAAGAAGTGTGTGTGTATATGCACACATATCTGTGTGTGTGTGTGTGACAAAATGTCCGTCTGTGTGCCACCACGTGGCCACTGGTTTTAAAACCAGTCCAGCTTCTCCACCTTGTGGTCAGAGTGTGTAACAGAATCACAACAGAAACCATTTAAATTACCGGTCTGTCTTGTAATTAAAGGAAAAATATAATTAAAAACTGAAAATGACGGTAATTGTTAGCATTCGACTGGTTTTAGGGCAACAACAACTGCACTGCAAAAAAAGAGTCGCCCAAAAATAAGATATAAACAGTAAATATGAGAAGAAAATGACTTAAAACTAGTGAAATTATCTGTCCGTGCATAAGATTTTTAATGCTCTATTTAAGATTGTACTGTAAAATCAAGGACTAAAAATGAGTAAATAACTTTTAAAACAAGCCAAATTATAAGCTTAAGCACTTGTAAGTGATAGAAGAATGTAGCTGACATATTAATAGGCTGGGGTATTTGTGACCATTGTTTATATGTTGTTGTTTATCTTTGTTATACCATCACTTTCATGGATCGTTTGATGTATGTTGATGGCGATCGTATAATGGATGGAAAAATATAATAAATAAAAAGTTAAAAAAAACACACAAAAAACAAGCCAAATTATCTGTCGTGTCTAAGAATAAGATTTTAAATCTTGGCAAGTCCCAGATTATTTGCAGTGTGAATATATTAAAATGAATATGAACTGCAATCAGGAATCAATAACTGTCAGAACACCACAATGCAGTGAGACAGAAATAAAAGATGATGTAATTTGATACTTCAATTAATATACATTAAATATAAGATCTAATTTATGATCAAATTAAATCTAATAATGAAGCAGGTCTTAAAACTCGTGTGCATAAAAACAAAACAGAAAAAAAAATGTTCTGTTGACATAAAATAAATATAAAATGCTGAAAAACAAAAAAAGACAGGACAACAACTTGTAAGATCAAATTCTGAAAAACTAAAACACCAGCTAAAAGCCACTGAACACATCTTGAAGATTTTCTTAAAAGCATCAGAGGAGGAACGTTTGATTAAAAGAGGAGCGCTGGGCTAACGGTTTGTAGCCACCAATGCAAAAGCACGATCTAGTTTATCCACAAGCTCTGAGTTATTTTAAATATTTAGAAAACACTACAGGGTTTAACTGATTGTTTATGACCTCTAGACATCAGGGCAGCACGGGCAAAGATTTCCTGACTTTTAGGTGTCAAACTGTTAAAGCCCTCAACAACCGAGTAAATCCCACATCTATACAACTCAACAACCTGCAGGTTTTCTGTTCAGAACGTCACTTTAAGCAGAGCTGTGACTGTCCAGCTGCCTACGTGTTGTGAGAAACGGTCGGTCCACCATCACACCGGCTGAAGTGAAAGCGTTGGCTAATGCCGGCTGACTCACGGCTCTGTGTGGTGGGCCACGCTCATCACGTAATACCGATACAGACGAGCAGCATGTGCTCTGGTTTGATGCAGCCTAATAATACATGCAGTCAGATGTCCAGTGAGTAGAAAAGTGTTGCTGCAGACGCGGCGCGTAACGTCCAGGAGTGATATATTAAGTGCAGCGCTATGTTTTAGTTAATGTGTTTTTGTCAGCTTTTAAAGTTGCCGTCAGCCTCAGAGGACACGGTGGACATGAGCTAATGTGAAGCTAATTTACTTTGTGATGCTGAAGAGAAGAAGACAAATGATCAGCAGGCCGGTATTGATTATGTGGAGCCTTTTAGCGGATGGCAGATGCTGCTGCTGCTGCGTTTAGCTCCAGCGTCTGACTGCTGCCAACATCACTCCCTTCTCTCCATTTGTAACTCCATGCTTAAGCTAGCTGCCATTTATATCGTTTTACATGACGTGTCCTCCTCTGAATGAAATGAAACCGCCGCTTATGAAGAGAGAAGCGACTGGAACATGGGCTGAACGCTGAGTGGTGTCATTTATCGATGCCACTCTGAAGCAGCAGCTAGTTAGCTTAGTGTAGCTTAGCACAAAGACAGAAAACAGGGCTTAGCGCTGTGTTAAAGTGACAAAATCTGACACAAAAGCTCCCTGAGCTGCTGCAACCATCATGTAAACACATTTTTTCACAGTTTAAACAAGCGAAACGTAACATAAAGCATTAGAGATGTTGGTGGATTGGACGGAGCCAAGCTAGCTGTTCCCATTTGTTTTGAGCCTTCTGCTAACATATGAGAGTGCCGTTAGAGAGCATAAAAACAAAGTTCTAACTCTAGAAATCATAAAAAAGTCAACGCAAAAGTTGGATTTATTTGATTATTTATTATGCAACAATACAAAGCAAAAATTAAATTAACATAAACCACATTTTTCCAACATGTGTTACCAAAACTGGAAAACAAAATGGTCACTCTACATATTTTATGTTTTTAATTAGTTTCCGTACTTGTCTCCTTTCTTTTCTGTGCAAACACAGCCTGCAGTTCAACCTAAATTTTTATCACATGACTGTGGGTCTATGTAGTTGTTCTAAGGAGCACAGAAATTTCTGTTTTTTTACACAATCTGGCAGCGTTTTGGCAAGTTTCTACTCAAGACATGTAGAATAAAGTGATTTTTTTCCCCCCCAATATGTATTTTTGGGCTTTTTGCCTTTATTCAAAGCAGTAGAGATAAACAGGAAAGGGTCGTGAGTGGGGGTCGAACCCCCATCTTATAACCCCTGTTGGGTCGCCCGCTCAACGAGGTGAGCTGTAGGGACGCCCAGAATAAAATGATTTTGATTCGACGAGCAGTTTAAAGATTGTCTGAAAGGTGAAAATCCAGTGATTCTCTCTGTTTTTACATTTTCTGCCTCTGATAAGTGAAGCCATTTTCATGATTTCTTTTACCAACATTCCTTTCAAAGCTCCCTGCAGGTGTCGAGGTTCACACGGTTAACAAATCAAACTAAACTTCTCTCCATTGCCCTGCAGACAGGTGAATATGCAACAGACGAGGAGGAGGAGATGAGTCCGATGTTTCCAAACTCCGTTGAGGTGTTCGACCTGGCAGAGAACCAGGACATGTTGTCTCCTGTGGAGATGGACCCCGAGAAGCTGGCCCACAAATTCAAGGAGGTAAATGTACATTTTGATTCTTGCATTCATAGTTTATCGATTCCCAAATTGTTTTGTTTTCTTCCTTAAAATCAGTCGCACTAACTGACAGATGTTTTCCGTCCATATTTGTCTGTAGCTCCAGATTAAACATGCGGTGACCCAGGCGGAGATCCAGCTGCTCAAGAGGAAGGTGAGTTCATTTAACATTCAGTCCTTCTCATCATGCAGAAAAAAAACAAACCACTGCAACATCCAGGTTGTGCTGCAGAGGAGAGTAAGGATAACATCAGTTCTTTTGCTGGCTCAGCGATGACTTAATGCTCGCTCTGCCTCCTACATACCACTTCCTCCCTCCCACACTGACCCCCTTTACCTCCAGCTGGCTCACGCGGAGCAGGATAGGTTGCGTTGGCGGATGGAGCGTGCTCAGTTGGAGCAAAACATCCGGGACAGCAAAGAGAGGATGGAGAAACTGGAGGGCTACTGGATGGAGGCGCAGTCGCTGTGTAAGGTAATTTCATAGAGAGCAAAAAAAAACAAACAAGAAGGCAGCTGTGAACCGAGAATGGGATCAAGTCTGTTTTTCTCATCATTTAAAAACTCTTAATGGGTTTATAATCTCCCCAAAACGAGTTACTGACAGTGAGTTTGTGCGTTTCCAGGCGGTGGATGAACACCTGAAGGAAACCCAGGCTCAGTACCAAACCCTAGAGAGGAAATACAGCAAAGCCAAGAGACTCATCAAAGAATACCAGCAGAAGTAAGGAAGGAGGGGCAACATGAAGGTTTGAGGGGAGAGAAAAAGACGCCATTAACGCCGCCTGTATGTGTGTTTGTGTTGCAGGGAGATTGAGTTTCTGAAAAAGGAAACGGCTCAGCGTCGAGCGCAAGAAGAGAGCGAGGCAACACACAAAGAGGAGACGGACAACCTGCAGGAAAAGGTCGGTGACGAGGGACGCCTTCCACGAATAGAAAACTTTTAAAAGCCGACGTTTTTGCTTTTTAATAATAACATTTAATAGCATCCGCAGTCGAAAAGTCTGCAGCGAGAAAGGTCACCGAGTGGATTTTGTGTTACGTTGTTTTTGTTTGTTTTCTTTTCAGTAACACAGAAAAGCTTCACTGTAAAAAATGTCAGCTTTAGGGGATCACAGCGTCCGTCCATCTCCACCTGAAATATCTTAAAAATGATTAATTTAATTGCATATTTTTGGGGATCCCTTAATGCTGCCTGTAGCGCCACCATCAACCATCAACTGCTAATGTTCAGATTTTCTTGTCATTTTACGAGAATGCTGAGCAACGTTTGAAGAGTAAGGTTGTAGTTTTAATCAAAGAACAAGTAAAGCTGTTACGGAAAGTAAGTTGAAGTGATTTTAACCAAAGGGTTCTGTTTTGAGATGAGATCGGGTCGATTTAACCGTCCATTCAGCAAATATTTCTCCTGGTCTCTCTCTCTCGTTACCACCGAGCATTCCTGAATTTGGTCATAAGGACCAGAGTTACTGATTGCTGATGACTGACTGACTGATGGCAAGATTCACCTGTTGCTTTATGAACATGTCTCAACTGAACTGTGGGCAGATAGTGAACACACTGGGGTTGGATCAGTTAATAAAGTGTTCAATGCTGCTAGCAAAAAGGCATCAGTCTTCATGTTGTTGTTGTGAATGCGTTAGGTTCTTGGGTTGTTGGTACGTCTGTTTTTTTTAGGCTGGCTTTGACACCTGCCAAAGGGACTACCGATGAAAACTAGCTTAATTTAGCTAACTCGGGCACGTTTACATTGTACAATGTTGATTAATGTGCATTGTCCCGTGTCAAACAAACAAACAAACAAACAAATAAATAAATGGCGTCACTCGGACGTTTGACATCCACTTGAACTCAAGGATGAAGTGATCAGATTTTGGTGATCAAAGTATAACAACTCAAGAATTCATACATTGATTATGACAAATTTGCACATAAACTGATACAATAAGACGCTGACGTTTAATCAAATGATCAGTTTCACATTTTAATTCCACGATATGTCTCAGTAACAGAAGAAGAGACTGTGACCATATTTCACATTTGATCCGAATTGGTGGCCATGTTCTCGAGTAGAGTTTTATTGACTCCCTTCAAAGTCTAGATGTGAACTAAATTAGCCACCGAACCAACTGACTAACACGACATCAAACCAGCTAACAGAACAAGACTCTCTGTTTTTAATGTAAGTGTATTCACCCGCTGTGTCGTCTCCACAGATTACCGACTTGGAGACCAAAGTGGATGCCTTGAAGACCCCCAAACCCTCCTAGACTGCTGCTACTTCCTACCTCCTGTCTGTGACTGGAAGAGGAGGAGCTCTGCCTTCATTCTGACCGGGGCTGTATTTTATTCCAATCAACCATCAAACTGCACGGACAGGTAGCGCAGGAGAGAAAAAATAAAACAACAAAACAACAAGGACGACAGCTGTACAATGAGGAGCGTGGTGGCATACCGACGAGGAAAGACCTCTCATCTGACATCAGCCAGTGACGTAGTGCCCTGTCAGTCAATAACCAATCCCAGAATGCACCTCCTGTAATATCTACAATCCTCCTCGTGTGTCTTCCTGGCAACCGGCTTGGCAATCAACACGGAAACCACGTTCTTCAATTCATGGATGATCTATTTTCTCCTCTTCGACGGTATCTTCCCAGGTTCTATTCATGAAATTAGTTTTTAAAAGGAAAAAAAACAAAAAAAGAAGCGCTTTTATTAACCAGGCTCGTCACAAAGTGCTTTATAGAGCGACGGAGGGAATAAATGCAAAACATACAGGAACAAAAAGGACAAACGATTGTCGAACTCAGTGGACCGTCTTGTTTTTTTTCTTCTTCTCCGGGGGGCTGGAACTTGACGGGATCCTTACGAAGAGGACAAACGTGCTTTCTGTTCTGTTGATCGTTTGAATCAAAAGACTACAAACAAAAAGCAGTGGCCGTTTTTAAAGAGAACCTCGGTAGTAACACAACAAGACTCTGAAAAGGAAACAGCCACCACCCCGCCGATAGTTAAGTAATAAACAAAAAACTATGAAAACAAGATCGCCGACAGATTTCCGATCAAAAAACTGTGAAACTACAGAACGCCCCGGCCCTTTGGTTTCTTCTTTTCCAGCCTAACTCTCTGCAAAGCGACGGAAAGAAATCAGGCAGAAGCGTGGCATTTCAGGTCTGAACCGTGGTGGCGCCCGTGTTTGTATATATTCTATACATTTATTTAAAAGTGTTTAAGTGGCTTAAGCAATTAAGTGGATCCGAGAGTTAAGGCGGTGCAATGAGCGGAGGAAGTGGTTTCGGTAGTCCTCAGTCTGTTTCATCTCTTCTTTTTTTTTTTTATCAACATCAATGGCAAACAGGGTGTGAATAGTCTAATATGTGCTTATAGAGCTTCTAATGGTGTATATTTGTTGGTGTTTACTACAGTATCTGTGGGTTTACATGCACAGCAGTCGATTGTTGTTCAGGTGCAGGGAGAGATCTTCGCTTACGGATTATCACGAAAAAAAAACTGTGTTCTGAGGCTGTTTTGTGTGCAGCTCAGGCTACACGGCGAACTGAAAATATTCAGTTAATTCTTGAGAAATCGGTCGCTCAAACATCTCTTAGAGGCTTAAACTGATCGGTTGAGTTGATAATCAGTGAGTTAGCCAAAGTGCCAAATCAGTATTTGGAGAAAATTCTATGACAGTATAATAGGAAACTCTTATTTTTTTTCTTAAATTTATAGCTTGCATGTCCCTAAAGGATGCTCTGAATTAGGTATTAAAAACTCTATTTTTAAAATAATATACTGAACGAAACGTTTGGCGATAGAAAAATAAACATATCATCGTTTTTCTCTGCACCACATTTACCATCAGTGATCTTTTCTATTTAAATTTGTGAAGCTTTTAATTTGAAATTGTACAACCTGGAAATTACCTTCAGAAAAAATTTCAAGAAAATTGAAAAATTAAAAAAGTACGTTAGTAAATGTAGTATTTCAATGTCAACACTATGTATTGAGTAGCAAAAGTTAGCTTGTTAGTTGGGCTGCATAGCTGTGGGTTAGCTTGTTAGCCTGCTAAGTTATGCTATTAGCTATCGAGGTATGCTAATTTAGCATACTGGAACCCCCTCCACAAAAAAAAGAAATTACAATTATCAGGAATGAAAGCGTCTTAGCCAGTAATATTTTTATCAGTGTTTGTCGGTTCTTGTTAGCGCATCTACGCTACAGGATAGCCTCTGAGAAATGTTTGCGTCGTGAGACTTTTAGCAGGGATACGGTGATGTTCAGATGACTGTGTGCATGTAAACACGCTCCACATCTCATAGTAGGAGGACAGTAGAAGGTCCCAGTGCCAGTGTTACGCCTGTAGAGAATGAACCTAAGTTAGCGATGCTGGTCTGACACGAAGCGTTACGGTGGTCATCAAAGGTCAGACATTCAGGAGTCCAAGAACCACCGAGAGCGTATCTAGTTCAATCCACACAGAAAAGGTCTTTATGTTTTCCTTCTTTGGTCAGATAATGGCTGTGAACAAGCAGGTGGTAAAGTCTACAGCATTAAGATGTTTGGTAAAAATGCTTCCGGAAGTTTTTCGAATTAGCTAATAAAGAATTCACTTAGAACTAAATTGGTCGAGGATGGAACCTGTCCCACCGTCTACGTGTTTATAAACTTCTATATTTGGCTATTCTGATGTGAAACGTACCCACTGGTTAACGAGGACTGTGTCATGTTCCAAATATGAATTTTACGAAAAATGGTGCTTCGAAAGACGGTGTTCACGAAAAGTGTTGGACCAAAACTTTGAACGGGCAGATGATGTGTTTTGGTGCTGCCATTCACCGTGGGAATTATTATTATTGTTATTATTATTATTATGAGTTCATGAATGTGTTTATTGAGATAATACAGCTTGCTGGCAAGTTCTGATTAGGTCACATTACTTGAAAATACTTGAGTACAGTACAATCCAAAAAAATTGATTTAAGCTACTCAAGTGCTAATCAACAAAAAATGGAACTATTTTTGAGTTTGGCTTCGTCCTCTTGATTGAGGAACTAGTCAAAATCAGCTTCAACTGTGTGCTTTAGTGCTGCCTGAAGTGCAGGTTAATAATCACATTTCCCAAAGACAAAATTGTGTCATGCAGTGCGTGTTGCGTTTGTTTAGCAATGTTAGCGCCGTGGTTCTGTGGATGGACACGTCAATCTGTTGCTCCACCACTTTGATGTGAACTACAACACTGTAAACCTAAGACGTTCATGGTGCCCAGAGGATGAAGCATGGTGACTTCCCCTCTAGCTACACCAGCAGCTTAAAGGTGGAGTCTGCGAGGAAGATTGTTGATATTTAGCTAGTTAGCACATTTAGGTAGTTAGCATGTGCCAGATTTAGCATCCCTCTCGCTTCTCGTGCCTCGTTTCCTCGCTCCGTGCACCAACACGACTCACTGGATTAGTGTTGTGTGGTCCAGGCCACCGTCTTTGTTCCACGTCTACGGAGCCAGAGTTGTGTTTGAACACCGGATGTTTCTCAACGCACACAGAACTGACACTTAGCAGCACTGAAGAGCTGTTCATTGAATTTGACCACAAAAAAAAAAAGTGTGTTGGGTTAAAATCGCATACTCCACCTTTAATTTATTCAACACTTTGGCTCTCTTATGAACTGATGTTAGCGTGCTCACGTGTTAAATCAACATGGCTAACATGATACGTTCATAGACTGTATAGAAAAGAAGGAAGTCGCTCATTCACCTGTTGGTTTTGAAGGCTTTGAGTTTGGAATTATTTTGAAACCGGACATCATAAGCAAGAGGCGGGTCTGACTGGGAGCTCAAGGACGCTGATATGCTAGTGACCTGTCAATCGTAAGGTAGCTCCGCCGAAAGCATGCTCTGCTTTCTTGTCCATTTTACTCTAAATGAGACCGTAATTTTAAAAATGAACATCCTGCTATGGCAAAGGGGAACTTGAACTAGCGACTGAGTCCATAAGCTCATGAGGAAAATCTTAACAAATCAAATGAGACGTGGGTCAGTTTCCAATAGACTTGTATACAATCCGACTTCTTTTCGCAACCGGACGAGTCGCCCCCTGCTGGCTGTTAGCAACAATGCCAGTTTAAGGCACTATTCTACGTCCATCTTTTCTATACAGTCCGTGAACTCTAAACCCGCCCAACATCCGCATGTTGGCATCGTGATTAGCATGTTCGCGTAACAATGTTAGCTCGAAGCACTGCTGCGCCGCACAGAGCTAGTTAGCATGACCGCACATTCTCGTTAAAATCATAAACAATGTGAAATATGTAGTTTGCTTTAAATATCTTGCAAACCCCAAATAACCGCCACAGATCACGACCGTGTGGTTTGAACAGTGTCATAAAAATTACACCTCCAGGCTAAGTGATTGGTCCGTAGAAGCATGTGAGCCTAGCCACACCGACTCTAATAATAGTTGAAACTGTGCTTGATCCCGGACCTACTGGAATTCATTCTTAGTCTTTGTATATCCACAGATATTTTCAGTAAGAGAAGTGTGCGTACTCAAACAGGACTGTGAGGAACTGATGAACAAGGAGGACTGACTCCAAAAAACTCGGTTGATGTTTTCATATAAGGTTGACAGATTTTTTTAAATTTTGTTTTTAAGGACTTCAAGTGTTTGTTTGGAACTTGCAGTATGTTTAAACTGTAGTCTTATCAGATGGGAACAAGGGTCAAGAGCATTTTTAGAGGAATGAAAATCAGCCATAAGCGACTCTCTTGAGTATTTTTATTTCTTATGTATTTTTATTACAGTTTCATCTCTATGTCGGGGAAAAAAAGAAAATGGAAAAAAAAAAAAAAGCTGTACAAAAGCTGTTGTATCACCAAATCGATTCCTGGTCACTTTGGGTTTATTTGTCTAAACACAGTAAGTGATCAGTTTGCCTTTTTTCTAAGTTAACATGCTGCTTTTTTGCCTCTACGAAGCCTTCGGATGTGTGCTACCTGTAGCTGACTGTCACTGTCATGTCTGCCCCCCCTTGTTGCTCGTGTCTGCATCAAAGGACGGGTCGGCGGCGGCGTTTAAAGAGCGTTTGCCAGTGGTTCCAGACAGACTGCCGCGTTGAAAAGACTGACAGATTGTAGCACTACAGTATTTAGTTGCAGATTGTAGACAGACTGATGCCTTTCACCACGATGCTGTTCTCGTGTTGGTTCGTATTCTGGGACTGACCTTCAAAAACCATTTCCCCCCACCAGCAGCATCTGAGCAGCTTCACTAGAGAGGGTTTAGTGCCTTGTTGAAGGGTTTAGGATAATGGTTACCGGGAGTAGACCAGAGTTGTAGTCTCTAAATAGGTGGTTAGTTTGCTTCTTTTTTTTTGTCCCCAAGTGCTTGTACCGCTGTTTAAATGCACCACAGTGTTATTAAGTGAACACATTGTGCGGTGAGTCTTCGATAGCATTTCCCGTCATTAGTGGCCCGAAGCCTTGTGCTTGTGCCGACTGCTAGAACCGTCCCCCGTAGAACCCCTTTCAGGTGCATCCGAAAAACTGCTGCGCATGTCTCGAGGCTGATTGGTTAAACTCAGAGAGGAAACAAGCACCATTTCTCGTCAAGTAGCAGTCGTTTCCGCTCTAACATCGCTAGCTAGGCTAACGTACCAAACATCTATCGTTCGATGTCCCACATGCCTTCTTCCCATTGTGCTGCCATCTCTTCCCCACATGAAGTAAAATAAAATGTAATCCATCATTTTTTCTCTGCGGTAATTTTCTCGCTCCTCCACAATCCAACAAGTCGAAACAGATCTCTGCCCTCCGCCAAAGGTGTCTTCCTGTTAAAAGGGAGTTTTTCCGAACTTGTCAACTGTCCTCGTTGCTGCAAAAAGTGGTTTCGTTTCCATTTTCCTCGTAATTTTGCAACTACAAATAACATGAAATTATCGGCACTCCGTACGAAATTAGAAAAGTCCCAGAGGGTTAAAGCCCAGGGTTCACTCTGGTTTTCTCTCCTCTGCCAACACTTTCTCTTTTGCCAGGCAGCTCCCACCGTTACTGCAATTGTTCATCTAACTGTAAATCAAGCGGTTATTTTCCCAGGAGGCCGCAGGCGGAGTTGCATCGTGAAAGCGATCGATGTGGGGAAGTAATTCAAACGCACGAGGCGGTGTCATTATTCTGAAGCTATTACACTGTGCGATCCGCATTCACTTCACAATGATGCAAAGATGAGTCGATTAGCACTTTAATGTGCTGTAAACAATGACGCAGTGCACCACGAAACCGTCACCAGTAAAGAACCACGACTAAAAGCTCGGTCAGTTCACTTAGTGCTTGTGCTGGTTAGTGTCTCCGCTCCCAGAATGCCTTTGGTTGGTGATTGTCTTGCATATATATATTTTCTTGCAAGCCCAGTTCCTTCTGACCTTGTTTGACACGATGACGACCATTTTTTTGATGCTCAGGGTGGGAGATCTGTCTGGTAACCACTGGTAACCAACCTGTAAACACCGTCCAGCCGTCCCACTAGAACAGATCTGTGCTCACATCATGCGTTACACTTTTAGGAGACTGAGGAAAAAGTGGTTCAAAAACATCACCAACGAAAGCACTACAAGAAACGTCTGTTGAATCGATTTTCCATTTGCATTGTTTCATTTCACTGCGAAACCCAAAATTCACTGCATCTTTGAGCAGGTCCGTCCTTTTATTTGTTTGTTTTTTCTTTTGTTTTTGTTTTTTTTAAATATTGACTCTTGGCTTCTTCAAATAATGACTGCTGAAACTAGACAGAGGTGTCACGTGGTTTTGCTAAACGAATAGACGGAGCAGTGCCAAACAATGTGAGCAGGACAATCTGACAGCGTGGAAGCAGACCTCCGAGTGCGTCTCGGCTTTGAAATACAGATTTCCTTCTCTGCCTGGTTCTGTTCTCCAGTTGATGCCACCATGTTTGTCTGAATCAATACCTGTCTGTCAGCATTAATAAATAAACCTGAAATATGTTGAACAAGAAACAACTGACGTACCTTTGTACTCTGCTGTTAACTTATGGTGGATGTGTGTGTTCTTGACTGTTTATTGTTTACTGCCGAACCCTAACTGTCCCTTTATTTATAGAGGAGGAAGAGGAATGATCCAGTGGTGGAACGATTTTGTTGGTGGCTGATCAGCAGATGGTTTGTGTTGCCCAGGGCTCTTAGAGGTGTCCTGTGGTATCAAAGATGTTAGCAGCAGATCCTTTAAGTCCTGAGAGTTTTGCACCATATTTTTCCAGCACATCCCACCGATGCTGCATCACACAAACTTCTGGGAAGTTTTGCACCCAAGTCAACACCTTGAACTCTTTGCCATGTTCCTCTAACCGTTCTTGTTTGCAGTGTGGCAGGAAGCACCATCCTCCTGAAAGAGGCCATCAGGGAATACTGCTGCCGTCAAGGTGTGTACGAGGTCTGCAGCAATGTTGTATGAAAGTAACAACAACACGAATGCCAGAACATCGTCCTGCCTTCTTCCCATGCTGCTGTAATCTCTTCCCCAGGTAAACAGCACACATGCATATTTGAAGTAAAAGAACATGTAGTTCAGTTTTTTTTTTCTGCGATCATGTTCTCGCTGCCCCTCATTCTGCCAACGGTGTCTTTCTGTTAAAAGGATTTTTTTCTTCTTCTTCCTACTATGGGAAAAGATTTGGATGGATTTGTTGGGTTTATCTCGATCGTCTCTTATTGTAAGGTCCTGACATACGAGGTGTGTAAGAAAAGTTCAAGGACTGGTGTCACAAAAGATAGATTTTGAAATCCAAACTACAAGATTTCCTCTTTGAAATAATCCCCCTGGAGTCTAACACCCTTCCCCAGCCTTCTCTGCCACACCGCCATGCACTCCTGGAAGGATTCTTGTCGGATGTTGTCACAGCCATCTTGATGTCGTCCACGTCTTCAAAACGGGTCCCCTTGATGACCCCCTTGAGCTTGGGGAAGAGGAAAAAATCCCACGGAGCCAGGTGGGGTGAGTAGGGAGGCTGCTCCAGCACAGAGATGTTCTTCTCAGCCAGGATGCTCAGGACATTTTGAGCAGGTTGTCATGGTGAAGCACAAGTCTCACCTCTTCACTGAACAAAGCAAACGCTGCAGGATCTCTTTGCAGACGTGCTGGTTAATCGTCTGAAGGGGAAAACTCGTAGTTTGTAGTTTGGGTTTGAAATCTTTTGTGACACCAGTCCTGGAACTTTCCTGACACACCTCATAACTACTACTGAGATTACTGACATTGAAAATTGGCTCTATATGAATCAAACTGACCTGAACTCTGTGGGATCGCACCACACAGGCCAGCCTTTGCTCCCCTCGTGAGTCTTGGGTTCCCATGATTCTGTCGTCTGTCCGTTCTTGGACCACTTTTTAGTATCTGCTAACCTCTGCATACCACAAACACCTTCTGTTTTAGAGATGCTCTGACTCAGTCCTCTACCATCACAGTTTGGTCCAAAGTCACTCAGATTCTCTCGCTGCTGCGTCCGACACATTAAAGGTCCAATATCTAACAATTCTGTAGTAAAATGTGCAAAAATGACCAGATCAGTGTTGTCGACTTGCGTTCTTGGATCATCCCAAATTTTTCAGTTAATGTTCAAATCCAGAGAAATCAATTATTTTCTTTTTCATGACTGAATTCACCACATTGTTGGCTGCAGCAGCTTTATATGCAGTTTACTCATCTATTGGTTAGTTAGCAGTTTATTTTATGTCAGCTGACGTTACTTGCAGCTATTTTATCAGAATTAAATATGAGTGAGACTAACGCATAACTTTCTCCGTGAGTGAAGACAACAAATCCTACGATCCCATGCTACCTGTCAACGCCATCAAACTGCAGCTTTGTTACATTAAATATATATTTTAGCCCAGTGGTCAAGATAAATCCAAGGGCATCTGGGATGGTGATTAAAAAGTAACCCAACACCTCTTGAAAATCTGATCCCACATGATGCACATCTGTTCTCCAGGACCCCATGACATCGCTGTTGGGTGTCATTACAGGCTTGAAGCTTTAAACCCAAGAGGAGTGAAACGCTGCTTTTTAAAAAAATTTTTTTTTATCCTGATTATGTATTACTTCTTAAAGGTGATAACATTTTCCTCCTAGATTTTTGTAGAAAGAAGCTTTTATATAATAGCGATGACAATAAAACTACCAAGTGGGAGCATGCTGGCATATTAAATTAATGATACCTGCTAAGTTACAAGGTGCTTTATGAAATTAAACTAGTAGACAACGATAGAAATGTTTAGAAACCATTTTGAACATTGATCGACAAAGACTGCCTTTGTATCTAACAGGTTTTTACAGAAGTGACTTAACAGAAAAAAACTGAAAAGAAATGTGTTTTTCAGAGGGATGTGAAAGAGGATGAAGCGTTTGCAGTCCGTGGGACCCGAACAGAAAAAAGATTTGACGGAAGACTTCGGGTTGTGACCGGGTAAGAACGACGTCTCATTTCCTCCATGTAGTCCAGAGCAGGTCTTAAGTTACTAATAAAGCCTTCAAATCAATTCTAAAACATCCTGGTAGAGAAGCTGAACTGATGGTGATGTCGGCGAGGAGTCTGGCTGCTGTAATCTGTGTCAACTCTTGCAATAATCCAAACAAGACCAATGGAAGGCAGCTGTGACCATCTATATGAGTCGTTAGCATGTTGCGGCGCTACGAAGCAACAAACCACCACAAAACGGGGCTGCTTTACGTTCATACGTCATATTTATTAAGTGCTGAAAATAAATACAAAAACATTTTTTGGAACATCTGGCAAAGTGACAAAGACCTGCTTCAGTCAAGTTTTTTTTTTGTTTTATTATTTCTTGTCAGAAAATGTTTCAGTTTAGTTTTTCCAGCTTTCGCCACAGTTTGAAACTCAAGATAATCGAAGCAAACTTAATCCGCTCTCGGTGATCTAAAGAGGTGGAGGAACACCCATTTCCAAAATGATAAAGAACAACCCTCCTTTTTCTCTGACACAAACTAAAGGGTGGCTGTTTTATTTTAAAAACTTCACATCTGGAGTTTCGCCGATCCAGAGGGACAGTACAACAAATATCAAACATGAGAAAAAAAGCATTGAAATGATGGCACATAACGTTATATATGGATGACTCGTGACTACGTCTCTCGCCAATTAACCGGATTTGAAAATACATCCCTGTGTTAATTCCAGTTTAGCAATTAGTAGATTATTTGACACCAGATTAGTGCAAATGGCAACAGACATGGCTAGCTGGTAAACGTCTAAACTAACTGGATTAGTCGCACATTCAGAAACCACATAAATAAAAAAAATAAACAGGTCTGGATCGAAACATGCACTCGGATACTCGTTAATTAGGTGCTGCATATTCCAGGGTTAATAACGGGGGGTGGTTAGCTGAGAGACGACGACGACGAAGGCCTGTGTGTTGTGTGTCCTGTAGAAGGCACTGACACGCTATCAGTACAATCCAAACTACATCAGAAAGTAGACATTCGGCGCTAACAGATGTGGTCTAACACGCACAGATTCAATATTAATCTCTATGGAAAAAAACAAAACAAAAAACAAAATAGACAAGATGTAGAGGTAACTAAAGAAGATGCTGAGGTTTGTACTGTTTTAACGAACAGGGCAGCCGTTAGAGAGCTAGGCAGTAGTCCATTAACGTCCATTACAGACACATCGGAGTGTGTGTGTGTGTTCAGTCACAGCTAAACTACTTTGTGGAAATGTGTTCGGACGTCTATGTGTGTGTTTGTCCTACGTTAAGCTGCACTCAAAGGAAAGGGTTAGCATTCATATGTTATGATACAGGTAGGATATCTGTGTTTGTACACTACTATCATTCATCTCTATGTTTCTGGAGTCTGAGAAGGCAAATGGTATTCATGTGTGTGTGTGTGTGTGTGTGAGACAGGATGTTCAGTCGTCCACGCCGATGTTGCGGAACAGATAGGACATGGACTCTCCGTTGTGGATGCGTCGGATGGCCTCCGACAGGATCATGCTGATGTCCACCGTTTTGATCTTTGGACACTGGAGCTTCTGGAGCTCGTGGGGAATCGTGTTGGTCACCACCACCTGCAGGGAGGAGACACCGAGGAGGGAGATGTGAGGAGAGGAGGGGAGGGAGGTCAGGCAGAGCAAAGCCACACAGTGACTGAAGTAAATGGTAAATGGACTGCACTCATGTTTTCTCATTCACCCATTCACACATCAACGGCTGCCTTTAGGAGCAACTTCAGGTTCAGCATCTTGCCCAAGGACACTTCGACTGTGGAGGGGCGGGAGATCGAACCGCCAACCCCATCACCTGAGCCACAGCCGCCCGAGTAAGTAAGCAAGCAAGCAGGCGCACCTCGTCTATAGCCGACTCCTCGATGAACCTGGGGGCATCCGAGGACAGGATGCCGTGTGTTGCCATGACGAAGATCTTGTAGGCCCCTCGTTCCTTCAGCGTCTCTGCTGCCGCCACGAAACTGTCCACGTCATCGATGATGTCGTCCTGCGGGACAAACAAACGGAGCTGTTTAAAGACACGCTGTCGAGTATCAGCCTGGTGAAGCGGCATGGCGCCCTCTGGTGGGAAGATGCGGCCACAGACATCTTGTGGAGAGTTACTGAGTTCTAAAGGGTTTAGAAACTGGCATTATGAGCTTTAGTTTATCTGTAATATAGACTGCAGTGTGACAAAATGCAGGATTTTTTGATGCATGACTGAAGTTGTTGTGGTGATTTTTGTTAGGAGGTGCATCTGTGTCCAAAACAGCAGCCTGGAATCTTGCTCATATGGCTGGTAGAGGCCTCAGAGAGTTTCTAACTTTGACTCAGATGTGGCTTCGTTCTGCTGATTTACATCATTAAATTGTGGTAACAGTAAACAAATTAGTCCCGCTGCCTCGTGTGGTGGCAACAGACGCTGCTCACAGAGAACCTGTTTATGGTCAACATCCTCCGATCTGCAGCTGAAGTATGTCTACACAACTTCTAGAGTTTCCCTCCTGCCCCTCACTCATTCTGGTGTGCACATGTGGAGCCTGCATGTCAACAAACTCAGTGAATCTTTTCTATAAATATCCTGAATGTTCAAAACGCTCTTCTTCATTGTCCGACGGCCAAATGTGTCAGGTGTCTTGTTTTGTGCAACCAGGAGTCTGTGAGATGTTCAGCTGACTGACGTTTATCAGAGACAAACGTTGAATATCGGAGCTGGATTAAGTGACCTGATAGGTTGTTCCTTGTCAATAATGTGTCGACAAGCCGTTCTTTGTCCTCGACTCGGTTTGAATTATTGAGGTAGAAACAGAACAAGCTTCACACCTACAAGCTCTCCTGCTTCACTGTGTGGAAAACTACTCCACAAAAACCTCTGCCTCTGTTTGGTTAACTTATCTTCACTGCATTCTTCGCCGCTCAGACTTATCTGTCGACCAAAAACAGGCGGTCAGCGGCGTGTCGCTGGTTCAGTTGCTGTTCAAACCAGTCCACTCACCACGATGATGGCGATGCGTCCTCCTACGTCTCCCACCACGGTGATCGGAGGCTTCTCTTTAGGGATCAACACTGGAAGCAGAAGTGAACAAAGTGAGACCTGCTGCATTTTAAACAAACGCTCAACAATGGCGATTAAAAACCAGCATTACGTGGTATCTCCATGCTGGGGTGAATGGCTCCAGTGGTCTTGACGGTGGGAGGCGAATGCCGACCGTCCACCTGGTCCGACTCGGCGTCCTGAGCTTCGCCGTGGATCACCGCTATACCCAGACGTAACCGCTCGGCGAACGACTGAGCCCTGAACGGACAGAGAGGACAAGTCGGTGGCAGCTCAAAACGTTATCTGATTAACCTTCAAGGGTCAAGAGAAATGAAAAAAACGACATAAACATGGGCTATACGTCGCCTCATTAACAGTTACTGTGGAACGTAAACAGAACCTCACTGGGCAAAGGAACAACCGGAGTTTATAATTAACATGTTGATGGAAAAATAATGAGTTACAGCTCAGCAGTTCAAGCATGTTTATAAATACAGTGAGTGAGGAGAGCGTACCTTTTGGCAGAAGCTGGCGATTTGGCAACGATCACAGCGTTTCTGTAGTCGGGGATCTGAGGGTTCAACAACAGTGGAAATGAAACCATTGATCGCTTGCTGAATACCTCACCTGAACAACAGCTATCTGATCATATCTGAGCTACAAAGCCTGGCGGGCTGTTCGGCTTCTGATCTCCACATGTTGAGAATGGATTTTTCTGAGAATGTTAGCATGTCTGGCTAACTAGCTTACAACAATAAGTCATGTACATGTTATCAATGGAACAAGTGTAGCAGCTGATACTGGATGGGAAAAGACTTGAGACTCGTGATAGTAGATTTATCCTGTTCTCTTGAATTGGGGATGTTCTTGGGCTGCCGACTTAGAGGTGCAGTCATGACTTGATAATCCGACACTAAATGTAAAACCTTCTTTAATGTCGGATAGCAAGGCTGTCGGATTGTCAAGACAGAGGTCTTAGCTTAATTAGCGATCTGCATCTCAATCACATGCAGTTAAAAACAAAGTAGGATTCTGGTGATCAAACTATATTTTCTCCAAATGCCTCCCAGTAGTAGAAAACTATAGATCCAGATCTACAGCCTGGATCTGGATTAACAGAAACTGGTGGAGGGATTTAAAAAGAATTCAATTAATTTGAGTTTTTTTAGTTAAATTAGTTTTAATGTGACATTATATGAAAACGAGCCTCCAACTGGTCCGATGGTGGCGACATAACAGCCACACAAAACATACTGAGCAGTGGTTTGTGGGGTTTTTTTTAGGAAACTGAACTCAATGTTTTTATGCAGCCGGCAAAATGGCCGTTCCAGTTCACTGACTTCTGTGTTTACTTTTGCTCAAACACAAAAGGTTTAAAATGATTCATGACAAAAAAAAAAAATCACATTTCAGGAACGCTGGCAGGGAGTTTGTCCTTTTTGCCCCAGATATGCATCATTTTGTGCCACTATTAGTTTTTCTGACCCTCTAACAGCCACAGTAAGAACATTAATGGGAATAACAAGTTGAAAGGTTCCTTGAAGAGAGACGAAGAATCTCGAGTGCCGCCGTTATCGCCATAAACTCTGGGTACAGTTCACCAAATGATCTAATGAATCGTAATGTAGGGGAAATGGGTGGAAGAAAAACAAAATGGAAATCACACGTGTGTTTTACCTCTTCCTGTATGTACTGCAGCAGGAACGGAGAAGCCCTCAGATTGTCCACCGGGATGTTGAAGAAGCCTTGGATCTCTTTCTGATGGAGGTCCATTGTGATGAGGTGGGTGAGGCCTAAACACAGACATCAGCTCTTTTAACAGATTGCTTTGTAATGCAAATGCAAGCAAGTGTGCGTTTGTTGAGCAACTGTCCCCCACGTACCAGCTTTACACATCATAGAGGCGATGAGCTTGGACACGATGGAGCCCCTCTTCCTCATCTTGCACTGCTTGCTGTAGGGAAAGTAGGGGAGGACGCCCGTGATGCTTCTAGCGCAGGACGTCCTGCACGCGTACACCATGATCAGCATCTCCATGATGGTGGTGTTCACATCCCTAACGAAGCCGGAGAGGAAGAGCAGAGGGTGGCGATGTTAGACAAACATGCGATATGAGGGAGATGCGTCGAGGGGAAACTGTGATAAAACTTAATAATGTCTTACTTGGCCACTGTCTGGATGACAAAGACATCTTTGCCTCGCACCGACTCCTGGATCTGTACCCGCGTTTCTATGGAAACGAAACAGGATGTGAGACGAGGAGAGAGAGCAAGCGCACATAAACACACATCCAGCAGCACAAGCGCACACACCCGTATCTCATAACAAAGCCTGTCAGCTTCATTACCCC